CAGCTCGGGAATGCCACACTGCAGCATCATGGTGAACAGCGTGATGAACAAGCTGGCGTGCTGCCGCAGGATGAGGTAGGCGTTCAGACAAAGGTTCTGAAACCTGTCGGAGATACAAAGGCGTCCAAAAGAAACTTTTAAAAAATGTATTCACCCAATCACCACGTTAAAGCCTTGCACTACCCACTCATGCACGCATGCTTTTTTAAAGCTATACCAAAATTCTGCATCATCCGACACATTAATTTTGCATTTGCCAGTGCTTCCAACAAATTGAAATTTAGTGCTTTTAGAGGGTAAAGAATGGTATTTGGGAGCCAGTTTGAAGAGAATACCAACAACCCATAACACCTATTTTTTTCTATCAAGATTATCGCTCAAACTCAAAGTAGAGAAATAACTTGAATGTCTCAAGTAGACCTGTCAGTGTGCGAGTTGTAAGAACTGAGGGAGTGGCAAGATGCAGTGACACTGAAAATCTGCCCATCCTGAAGAGAACGCTATAATATAATAATTTACTGTCACTATCACCCATCCAATGAAAGGTAAACACTTTAGTTCAATAACAAGGCTTACAAGGTATGGCAGATACCGAATCCACACAAGGCCTGCACCAAAGCGCGCTTTGCAGAGAGCTCTAATCATAATTCTTAACTAAAACATGTTATCAAGATTCCTTCAGCACCCGCGAGTGTATCTTTCAAAAAAAATTCCCCCCATTCCGGAATCATATTTTGCCATATAGTAAAAACCCATGCCATCAAAGGCAAAGGCATTTTGGGGAACAAAGAAACTGGTTGGTAAACATCGCTGATTCGGCGAGCGAGATGTGGTGGCAATGAGTTAATAAGAAAGAAGGAACAAAGCACATTAGAGCATCTGCCATGAAAAGCGGGTTTGCCAGTATATTTTTATTTTTATAGTAGAAGGTTTTACGGTGCTCGCAACTGCATAAGGTCATATGAGCGCCAAGGGGTGGGTGTCAACAGAAAGTCTTTACAGGGAATCAGACTTACTCTGCTCACCTCTCTAGCTTCAACAGCGCAAAGTCTGCTTCGACTATCAAAGCACCCCAGATATAGCAGGTCACAAGAGAGACAAACATACAAAAGAAGTAGAGGAAAATGACAATAGTAAGGATCAGGAGAGAAAAAGCAGCAGTTCCCTGTTGTGAGCGTGACATGATGAATCAGCCCATTTACAATTCTACTATGCTTGAACGAGAAATGTCCCCCCTTTGGGAATGGCCTAAAGACACTTCAGTCAGTGGCACTGCCCTGGGGGGTAAGGGTTTGGCAGTGTAAATAAGTTTGGAGTTTAAATAAGTTACTCTTTCTAGAACGACTTACTCCTTAAATCCCGGGTCTTTCTCCGGCCGACTGGCGCCCTTGGCGATGA